CACCGCAAGTGCAACAGGGGCAAGAAGTTTGTTTCCTTCTGCAAGTCTGCATTGTCTTGAGACTAATATTAACTATGTAATATCTAATTCATTTTCTGGTAACTCTTTGTCTAACACAGGGAAAAAGAGACATGTTCATTATTGAAATCAATAATGCTCACAATAAAACAGACAATTTATTAGATTTTCCTTAGATCTTTCCCATTCTAATTTACTATTAAGATATGCCCCACTTGGAATAGCATGAGGTTTTTAATGAATTCAACCCTAAAAACCCAAGATCATTATCGCCCTGAAATGCTAAAATCAACTTTGAATGTTTGGCAAGGGTATAATTGTTGGGAATTTTTCTCTTCCTTTTTTCCAGAAAAGGTGTGGTGAATATATTGAAGCCCTGGGAACTGATCAGCTTCTTTGTTCTTTCAAGTGAATGAGTTGAGAAAAAAAAATCAATCTTTCTAAGGTTGAAGAGGAAAGAAAGAGGAAGTCAGAGAATATGCCAGATAGACATTAAATAATGAATTATGTTAAAAATGTGTTTCACACTTGAAACTGGCAATTTAAATGGTAACATTGTATTACAAGATAATTTGAATTTTTCATAGAAAGGTGATAGTCAACTTCCAGTCAGTTGAAATTTTTTTTGTTAAAGCTCAGTGTGTTTTATAAGTTGAACAAAAATGTGGATATGTGAAATAAACTGTGAAAGGTAAGTCAAATAATTTAATTTAAAGAAAAATAATAATTTTATCCATTCATTTATTTAACAGATTTATTCACTGTACCTTGCAGGGTATGGATCATTTACAAGAATGCAATAAAACATCCTTTAAAATCTAAGCCTTATATATAAATATACCCTCTGCTGATGAAATTTCAATAATACTTTAGATCCAACTTTCAAATATCCTTTTCTCAACTAGTTTCACTGTTATAATGTATGTGAGTTAATTAACATATATATACAAATTGTCATTTATCTGAGATTTTTAATAAAATTCCTTAGCAATTCCTATACACAAAATCATATTTATGCATGAATGAATGAAATAAAAGTCAAGATTTCCCATAAATCTTTGCTTGTGTGGATTTGTAGTCATTATTTGTTTGTCTCCCACCTCAAATGTAAAGAAAACTGATACAAATTTTGGGTCAGTTTTGATCAGAAATGGATACAAGGGCTGCAGGGGCACATCCTTGGCTTAATACAATAGCTGTGTTCACTTAACACAGTTAATTAGACCAGCAAACACCTAGCAACTACATTCATATAACATGCTAACCTTAGTAAATTTTAAGTTTAGTTTCATTTTTGAGTCTTAGTCTGTTATACAGACTCAGTGCACATGGTTCACTAACAGTTCAATGCATTGTAAAAATCCACAAAATGAATTGTGGATTTGTGCACAAAATGAATTAATTTAGCACTGTAAGATTATGCAAGCTGTATTCATGCAGCCAATGTCTCAACACAAACAATGCTGTTCAGAATAACACTAAAGCTACCATGTTTCTTTATACATTTTAGTTATTAAAATATGTTTGGACCTACAGGGCCTTCTTATTGTTTAGTATCCATCAGATATTAGCACAAGCATTTCTTAGTATTCCAAGCACACCTATGAGAATGGAACCTACAGGGATTGAAAAACTGTTCTTCCAGATTTTGCTAAGCTACAATTCTCTGTATCCTGCAACATTAACCATGTTGTCTAATAACTCTCCTGAGACTTGTTTACCAACATCTTTAGGGAACAGATTTCCACCCAATGTAAAACTTACAACCACCCCCCCATGAATATCAATAAACTTACCACTTTTTATATTAAGTACATGATGCTTATCCAAAGACCAACCACCTAGATTTGAAGGGTCAAGTTCAAAGCCTTGCAGTAGAGCAGTCCTTTTCTCCCATAAAATCAGACTGGGACAGGTCTCATACTCAAAGCCCACAGACACTGAAATATATATATAGAGAGAGAGACATATTTATATTAATAACCATTGTATGTGAATGACTTGCCATCTACTATGAAGCACAGTTCCCAAGATATTTTATTTTATTCTACATTATTAAATTTAGATATTTGACTTCATTTGACCCTGAAATTTAACTTGACTCAGAAGAGCTGTATAGAGCTTTAATGTTGCAGGAAATGATTGATTTAATAAAGGAAGGAGGGGAGTGATGATGACAGCCCAGATTCTATTTTTAATTACCTGGCAGCTTCCAGCACTGAAAATATGTATATTCAATACTGTACATTTGTGTTCATGGAAAAAAGTACAGAATAAAACTCTGAGAATATATTAAAAATGCATTAACCTGTTACCCCATTTTCCATAGAGTTATCAGATGGAGATCTTGGAAAATATTAAACTATAGATTATTGTTCTTACCAGATGTATGGCTTTCTTGTTCCAATTTGAAGACAGCCTATTTATTATTCACTGTAAGGTGTACTGATTCCCATAAAGTTTCTACATATTATTACATACTGCAGAAACCAACAGTCAATGTCTTGGCACATGGATTAGCATGATACATATTGGGAGTTACTATGAATAAAGTATTGAATTAGCACCAGGAAGCTCCAGATTCATCTTCACCTCCAGCCCTGGGTGACATGGGCAGTATGGCAGATTGGAAGGCTGGGCAAGTTAGGGCTCAGAGGGCTAATAATGCTGTGTTCAAAGACAAATGGGGCCCACAGGTAAGGTTTACTGTGAGGAAATTGATCAGCCAGGCCTCCAAGGAGCAGGGGAGATGAAGGTATACTGATAAAATGGCTGAAACAACTTTTACATATATTTGAGTCACTACATGGATCGAGAAGGAGGTAAAGATCAAGGAAAAGTCAATAAAGAAATAAAGAACCAGTTAAAATCAGAATGAATGGAGGAGGGATAGAAAATGGAGCAGAAGTTATAAGGTATATCAGGGTGGAGGAGATAGTCACTATATCAGACAGCCTAGTTTTTGTCAGACAGCTGCCTGTGTAGGAGGCCTAATGAAACTGACTATTTAAAATGGAGCAATGGAGCTGTTTTCCTTTATATGGTAGTAGCAGAGATAGTGGAAAAATAAACAGCAATGAAAAAGAAAAGAAAAAGTAAGTAGATCTACTGTTTATTTGAGTTAATATTAGAAAACTGAAAAGGAAGGTTCATCCCTGGAATGAGAGGACCAGAGAGGATACCTTACCCTCGTCTGACCTGCTAAGGAGATCTATAGGGGAATGGACAAGTGAACAGCTCATGGTGGGGAACTTGGTATGTGACAATTGGAATGATTAGGAGTTGTGAGCTAGGTAGATAAGGGGGTGGACATGGAGGCAGGATGATCACAATGATAGGAATGAGGAAGTATGGCAGGTGAGATGGTCCAGAGGAAGAAATATTGCAAAGTTATACCCATATCAAGAACCAGATAATCGGATCTGATAAGCAAGCCAAACTCAGGCACAATACTTCTGAATTTAAGATTTGTTTCCCATGAAGGTAGTCTCAGAGAGCTTGCTGGAAGAGGGTGATTCCCTCTTATTGAAATTTATCAAATGGGATTTTGTTGCTTTCATCAGTCCTGATGCCAGGATAGGGGAAATACTGTGGCAGTTATGTACCAGAAGCACCTGTTGTTGGGAAGAACTCTCTTCCACAGATGGCCAGATATGAGTCCATATTTGTGAAATTATGTCCAAAGAACAAGCTTGGAAAGGGGGTTTGGGGCTTGCTATTGTAGTGTCCAACTGTCCAAAGTCTACTGTCCAAAGATAGTTATGAATTTACCCATATTGTTAGTACAAAATAATTGTCATGACTGTCATAACAATCTGAAACTTTTTCTGGATCATTTTTGTCAGACCACTTTTTTGGCTACACAGTATCATTTCAGAGCAGATGAGACATGATCTGCTCCTGGAAGACATCTAAGAGTGATTTGTTTTTGCCATTACCAATAATTTTCTAGTTATGATGCACTTGACTGGATCCATAACCTCCAAGGTACGATAGTCCAAGTAAGATGCCTATTTTGATATCTGATGGATCTAGAAGCTTTCCCGATGATACTTAAAAATTGGCGTAGCAATCTAGTGGACTTACGTTAAAGGTCTCATTGGTCTCTGGAATTTAACCATGACACCAACCTAGAACTAAGGAAAAATATCCTAACAGTTAATCAGTGGAATGACTTGCCTCTGGAAATTGTGGGTGCTCCAATACTGGAAGTTTTTAAGAAGAGATTGGACAATAATTTATCTGAAATGGTAAGGGTTTCTTGCTTGAGCAGGTGGTTGGACTAGAAGACCTCCAAGGTCCCTTCCAACTCTGTTATTCTGTTAAACAATAACAGGATTGTTTCTGAATGGCCTTTCCCTGCCCCTGATCCCAACTAGCAACTTGATTTTCTGAAGATTTTTAGAAAATCAAGTAGGTGAATGAACACATCAGACAATGCTGTTGGAAAACAAGAAGTAAGTATGAGTAGATATGGATATGGGGTCACATTCAAGCTTCCTCCAGAGATGACATCTGGTATTTCATAGTAAGATATCATCACTATACTAATGATACTTGTACTTTAACTCTAGCAAGCTCGATATTTGCTAATTCAGGAACCTACTCATTCCAATACTATATCCCATGTAATTTGCAACGATATTGTGCTTCCTTAGAGAAGTTAGGGTTGCAATCTGGAAGCCCTGCCAGAGGAGCAAGTGAAGGCTGTTCCCAGGAAAGCATCCTCTCAACTTTTTATCCCAAGACTTTTGCTCAGATAAGAACTCATGTTCTTATGTTTTCTCAGTTCTATGTCTGTGATTCACTCTACACGAGGCTGCGCTTAAAGATCATTTAGCTGTTCCAAAATGCAGCAACCCGTATGTTTAACATTCAGCTCTAATGTTACTTTGTCAGACTACCAGTATGCTTTCAAATGCAATTCAGGTGCTGTTTACCACTTCAAGACACTTAATGGCTTGGGGGTACTTTGAAAGACTATCTTTCCCTGATAATTTTTGCCAAAACCAGACAGCTTGTTTTGCTTAAGGTCCTGGCCTACCAGGAAATGCAATTGGAGTGACCTGATGGTCACTACTCCTCTGGCCCTCTGGAAAACTGAAAAGAACTGGCTTTTCCAAAGTGACATCCAGAATGATTTGGGACAAGACCTATTGATATAGAAATTAGGTTTATTATATATCTTGTGTTACTGTAATCTTTTTCTAGTAATGATACTACATTTTATTGAACCTAGAGTACAATTGGATTAAGGCAATATATACATTAAATAACAGCCATACATATATTTCATTGAATCTGACTGCCTAAAAATATACTTCATATACTTCAGTTAGGGTAGGGAGTGGATCAAAAAGAAGACTAGAGAAATCTGAATGTTAATGTATCATTTAGTTAAGAAGGGCACTTGTATTCCAATAAAATTCAATAGCTTTCTCTAAGATCCCTTTATTGTATCCCAGAAGAAGTGGGATAATCTCATACACCAAGTTCTTTGGCATATATATGCGAGTCTCCAATAAACTGTCCTAGATGCCCAATTAGTAACAAAATCTGTTTAAATCAAGCTAGGATTTAGCTTGAAAGTATAGGTATAGATAGAGCTGTGCTGGTGAGGTGACTGAAGAACACCTCTGCATCTGATCTTGAAGTTGTAAAGCATCATAACCTATCTTATCAAAGGCTTATCTGCTTTGAGGATCCCCCCTTGTCATCTTCTATGTGCATACAGTATGCATGCACCGATGATACTTCCACTGAGATTGCAGTTAAAAGTAAGCAATAGGTCTGAAGAGATGCTTTGATCATTTCCTGAAGGATTCTCAAGTTCCTCTAAAAGCCCTTAAAGATACAGATACATTACCGTTTCATAAATTCAGTTAGGATGGAAAACTGGTGAAACTCCCTTATCTTTTACCCCACAGAAAACATAAAAGATGATCTGAGCTCCTTATGAGAAATGATCAATTATATCAAAACGTCATTTGGATGAGTTTTCTTCTTTCTGAAAAGCTTGGGAACACACTGTAAATCAGGCTTTTATTGCCTAAACAATTGATTGTTTACAGTCTTAACTCTTAATATGTAATATTTGTCAGTAAGGTAAATAAATTACTGGGAAAAAGTTATTGGGAATGCTAATGAATGTTTGAATTTATTCAGAAGTCACATCTCATGATGGCAATATGTTCATGGCCAACTTCACCCATGGCTCTGGTACATTATTCAAATTTCTATTTTGTATAAAATGTTTTGTGATGATACCTTGTATCTAGATTCAATTAAAAAGAAACTTTTCATTTTGTAGTGTTCTTGTTTTCCATTTCTCACCCCTTCTTTCTTTCTTTCTTTCTTTCTTTCTTTCTTTCTTTCTTTCTTTCTTTCTTTCTTTC